GACTCCAGGCAGTGGGTGTGGTTTGGGCTTTGCTTCTGTGAAGATTGACAGCCTTGCAGACCCTGTGGGCAGTCCCACTCTGTCCTCTGTCCTCTAGGGGTGCTGTGGGTGGGAACCAGCTCCACTGGGGTGGGTTGTGGGTGGGTTTCTGACCCAGGTGATAAGCATTCATTGTGGAATGGCAAGCAGCGATGAACGGTCTTGGTGTACACTTAAGAGTGAAGCGGCAAATTTTGTGTGACATGTATTTTACCACAGTAAAAAAATCAGGGATTTAATGTTGATGCCGCTGTTACCCGGTCTTCGGGCCCATTCCAGTTGTCCAGATAATGCCCTTCAGAGAAAAAGAAAATCGCGGGCTGTCTGTCTGGCGCCCCTCTGAGGGACTCCTCCCTGCCACCCCGGCCTCGCACGCCTCTTTGAAGCTGCTTCTCCTTTGGGTAGAGATAGGTTTCCCTGCGTGTGTGGCTGAAGGCGCGTTGGCGCCACCTCCCACCCATCGCAGAGCGCACATCTTCCCTGGGGATTGGGGCCTGTGGGGACTCAAGTGCCTGGGGTCCCTGGCCCCGTGTCTGGAGCCTCGCTTCCGCTCCAGGTGTTTTTAGAATCCTTTGTCCCTGTGCTGGGCCCTCGCGGTCCATCAGCTGGGAGGACGTGTCCGAAGGATCCTGGGTGATTTCTCCCCACATCCTTTCCTTCTGGAAGCCTTGGAAGAATGGCCCTTGGCCCCCAGGACAGTTGCCGTTTGACCGCCTTTTGTTTCCTCGCCCCGTCTTCTGGATCCGCAGTGTTCCCCGACTTTCCACCCCACCCCTTCCGTCAGGTTTTAATGCTTTAACTCTCCAGGAGCACCTTTTGACTCCCTGGGTTTTTTCAGAATAGCCTTCCTTCTCATGGATACAGTAGCGTCTTGTCTGCAAGGATTAATTATAGTGGTTTCTGGTAGGTTCTCTCTTACACGGTGCTCTTGGGCCCTGCAGGTCTTGGTCCTGTGGCTGGTTTTGGCTTTCGTCTTCCTGATGTCAGGCTTTCCCCATGATCCGGACACCAGGTGTGATCTGTGGGCTAGAGTCTGTGAGAATTTGAAATTCTGTCCTGCATTTCCCCCCTTTTGGTCAGGATTCTTAGCGGGCATTTTGATCGAGTCTTCGGTCTGGTCTCACAGCCCAGGAGGCAGGTGCTCCTGGAGGCAGTCAGCCACACTTTCCCTGTCTTCCTTCTCTTCCTGACTCCTTCCTCTGTTGCTCCAGGTGAGCAGAGACCGGTTGTTGTGCCTTGGAAGGCCGCTTGCAAGCTTTTCAGCCCCCGGGCACTACACGTCCAGCGGAAGCACTGAATGCATTCATTGTTAGACCTGTTAACTGGGATGCTCTAGGAGACCAGGACTGCGCCCTTCCAAACCAAAGAACCAGACCCTACTTTGTTACGGTTGTAAGTCTACCTATCACACAAGTTTGGCCAGTCACCTTTTTACAAGCGTACAGCTTACTGACGGCAGTTCCAGTAATCGGCTGTGCAGCCCCCCTTAATGAATGCAGTTTTCCCGTCACTGGTAACCTTCCTTTTCTCTGCTCCCACCCACCCCCATAAGCACTAATACACGTTGGTCTCTACACGTTTGTCTTGTTTTTGGTGTGGGTGAGGTCATACGGCGTCTGTCCTTCCGTGACCGACCTACTTCACTCGGCACGGCGCCTTCCAGCTCCGTCCGTTCTGTACATGGATGGAAGTTTCACTTCTGGCTGAGATGACTCCATTGTCTGTAAGGACTGCGTTTTGTGTGTCCGTCACCTGCCGATGGGCACTGAGGGTGTCCCCCTCTCGGCAGCTGTAAGCGGTGCCCCTGGCGGGGAAGCCTCGGGGGGTGCCTGGGAGTGGCGTTGCTGGGCCCCATGGCAGGTGGGGTTTCGTTTTTTGCGGACCCCACAGTTTTGCACAGCAGCTGCGCCGTTCTGCACCCCCGCTGGCAGAGGATGAGGGCTCCAGTTCCCTCATCGCGCCAACCGTCGATACTTTGTTTTCATCAGAGCCATCCTGTTGGGAGTGAGATGCGAACCAAACCATCTCTG